AATAATTAATAAATAAAATATATTTACTTATATTCAAAATCAAACAATTATGGGATAATTATCCACACAGTAAAACGTACTAGTTATACTAATACGACAGATAATATGTAACAGTAGTAATAATACAATAAATTATACAAATAATACGTAATTAATAATACAACGTATTATTCAAAACGACATGTAACAGTATCAATAACGTAACAGATAAATTTCATAAATTTTCACCGCATAAAATTAATTTATAAATTTTAATACCATTTAAATAAATATATAACTTAGACTTTAAATCATAGAAAATTATAAAAATTCAAGAAAAATACAAATTCTCTTTTAAAAATCATAATTAAATATTTTAAAATACTAAAAAATTATTTTAACTAGTATCAAAATTTATGGTCCTTACATTCTACCCCCTTAAAACAAATTCCGCCATCGGAATTAAAATAAAAGTAATGCAAAAAGAATCCAAGGACAGAGATATGGAACGATATCCATAAACAGAGGAGAATGTAAAATAAAAACGACACAAAGAAAGATACAAGATGTAACAGCTAAGATATCGCTATCGTATTTCAGACTAGCAACAAAGTCCAAACAAATACTATGATACAAACATATTTAACTGTATGAACTTGATATACAGTACTTGTAAATATATAAGCAATCTAATCAGTATAAAGTATAAGATAAGCAATAATATAGAATCAAAACAAATAGGTATAACATAAATAAACAATCATATAGAGTGAATCATACAAATGATATATAAGCATTCCTAGAAACAAAGCAGAAACATATTAAGTAAGGATAAGGTCAAGTAAGAATAATAAATCTGAAGCAAACACAAAAATAAGTCAAATACAATAGAAACAGACAAAAACATAAACAACATAATAAGAAAAGTCAAAAAGTCGAAAATACATAACAGTTTAAACAAACATAATAGCAGGGTATAACAATGTTTAATAAAAACAAAAGAAATTTAATTATGAAAAACACAATCAATACCGGTTCAAACTAATGATACTAAAAACTCAATGCAAAATATAAAATCAATAAAAATGAGTAAACAAGCGAAAAACAAACATCAACGGGATCATATAACAAAATAGAATGATATACTAATAAGTATAAATCAAAGATAATAGGAAAAACAACCCTAAAGTAATTAGAATAATAATACATACAAAATAAACACAAATAAAAGAAAACATATTTAATTGATGAAATGATGAAAAATAGTCTGAAACATAGAAAAGATACAAAGACAGTCAAGTATAAATAGTTAAACACAATTATTAAAATAATTATACAATCAAATAATTATGTAAAGCAATATACAAAATTTAGTAGATAAATAATTCATTACACAAATATTGGGAATTTACAAATTGTATACACAGAAATTAGAATGCAACACACAATATAATTATATAAAATAAGCAACACAATGCAAGTAGAATATTAGAAGGTAATTGAACATAAACCAAAAAGATATTATATTCAAAACAATACAAGGTAGATAATCATGGAAGGACAAGGTGATATGACACAACAACATATAAGAAAATGAATTATATGTAGTATATCATATCAAAAACAAAATAAATAATTATAGTCGTATATCACAGCAATAATTATCAAAAACACACACTTTATATAAATATTATGACTAAATAAATAAAGCAGACAAACCTAAACAAAGAACAAAATATAAATCAAATATTAGAATGAATAAGAAACTGTATATAGAAGATAAGTAAACAAAACATAAACATAACTAAGAAAGATGAAATGTTTGATAAATTAAATTAAACAATGATGATACATGTAATTGGAAGTAAAGAATGAAATGAAATATACTAAATGAAACTATTTTATACGTAATAAAAGAAGCTAGCATGTTAATAATACACTTATATTATAATATACAATAGTAGACAATGATAATGTAAAATAACTGAAATATACCAAACACGATAATGACGCAATATTACTAGAAAAGCACAAGATATAAAACAAGAATGCAGAACAATCAAGCAGAAGGACAATAAAGATTATAATAAGGTATACAAAACATACATGATCACAATTGAAAATAACATTAAGAAATGAATATAGATAGAAACACATCAATACATATAGACAAACAAACATATGTAAATCATAATAATAATCAATAGCCGAATAAAACGATACACAATAATTACTAGCATACAACAATTATATAAAACATAATAAAAAAAACATAATTATATATTCGACAACCAATATGATAAATTAGAAATATTAGTAATATTCATAATATAAACAAGATACAACAACAATAATAATCACTATATAAAATCAATTTAGACATAGTAGTATATTGTGTAGTAGTCAAAAATCACATAAATATAAACAGCGTAATATACATAAATAAAATGTATAATACATAAAACATGAACTATGAATGATAAAATAGATTTATAAACAAATAAAAACATACAATACAACACTGTATGTGATACATAAAATATGTAATAAATAATGCAAAATTAATACAATCAAATAATATATAAGTCAAATCAAAGAAAATATAGTTGTAAAAATAATAACACATAAAATAATGGCCGGCACGAGGAAAGAGAGGTTGTACAAAGAGAGGGTAATTACGAAGCGATGGGACAAGAACCGTGAAAAACTCTGGAGTCAAAGAGTGATAAGATAAGGACGAAACGAAATCTATCAAGAAAATAGGATAAAGGCTCAAGATTAGTCTTACGGATGAAATATGATATGTATCTAAATTGTCCATTATATTCTTACTAGTGAGGAATCGGGACCGTGACCGGGACCGTGACCTGCATGGGCCACCACTAAAACCTGTCACGCCCCGTTTCGCAAAATACCCGGGAATCAGAACGTGAACAAGCCCGCGACGTATTAGGTTGAGTAGAAATAAATAATAAAACTCTTTCTACTCAATCTAATACGCTAAGCGTCTAGAAATAAATACAATGCGAAGTCACAGGTCCCTGATCACAATCAGCAAGAATATAATAGACAAACTCAGAACATAATGATACATATCACAACTGAAATATCATCCAATACATAATATTCGGGTCATCATGCCCTTATATTTGAGTATTCCAGTTATCTATTCAGACATTGACTATGTATTTCCGTATGTTGGATGATGAGATATTAATGTGATCACTATCATTTCATCAGTTACTTCTTGCACTATCTTTTACTTGCTTTTGTACCTACACCTATTGTTGACTCCACTAGATAGATGTTAATTGTGATGGTGAAACATGTTATTGCACGGTATGGTGCATGGCAGGTTTGACATTCTTGGTTTCACCTTGGACTGCAGCCTTGTGTGAACCCAGGGGCGTCACAACTTCCCATCTAGTTTGAGATAAAGATTTAACGGATAACTTGCATCCATTATCTCCTGAAATTTTCCATCGTTTGGTAGATGAAGCAAACAATGAGTATATATGTTGCAACACTCCAAAAAAAGAAATAGCTCTAGGACATGAATTAGCTATATCACATAAGACTAAATTTAAATTATGACAACCACACTTTTATATTTTTTTATTAGGCCTGCTTTCAAAATATAAAATAGCAAATAAAAAGCTTTCAATGTATATCTACAATATCTCTAATTAAGCATAAAATTAATATGAATAAATAATAAAGAAAATTAAATAACTTTAGTTAGAAACATAGAACCGAAGTCGGCTAGCGGTGAGCCCGCGAGATGCCGCCTTTTTTCGACGACGAGACGTTGAGACAAAGTGCAGGACTGCAGGAGGTGAGCCTGCGAGAGAAGTGGGATCGGAGGCGCCGAGGCGGCTGGTTGATGTTTGAGTCTTTGAGAGAGGAGGCGGCGGGACTGAGAGTGGGAGAAAGAGACAGAAAATAGGGTTAGCTTAAAAATTATGGGTGGGTGGGCCCTACCCAGGATGAGGCCCAAGGTAGAGGCCTTGACTGCCTAGGGGTAGGGTCGGTCCTGATTAGATTTAGAAATTATATCTATTCATCTATACTTAAAAAAGGCCTAGGGGTAGGGTCGGTCCTGATTAGATTTAGAAATTATATCTATTCATCTATACTTAAAAAAGGATCCAAGTTTTAATATATTAGATTTGCTTTTTTATTCATGCTACAGTGATACTGTAGCGTAAACAACAACTTTAAGTATGAAAGAGCAGATTTGATTTACTGTTTATGCTACAGTAAAGTGTTGTAGTATAAACAGTAACCTCAAGTTCTTGGAACCGGATTAGTATACTGTTCATCATACATAATTTATTGTAGTATGAATAATAATTTTTTGGATTCAAGTATAGAGGAGTTAGATGAAAGACTGGCGTTACTTGGATGGACTTGGCGTTCAAAATTTCAAGTCCTATTAGCTTAAATCCCCACCCCCCCCACACACACACACCAAAAAAAAAGAAAAGAAATATCTTTAAATTTCATCCTTCTCTCTTTTTAAAAAGGCTGTTTATATTTTAATTCATATATAATGACAAACTTATTAAATTAATGGGTTCAGCGGTGAACCGCCCAAAGTTTCATGGAGTTTGACGGTATTCATAAAGATCAGTAGTTTTGTGCGACTCCAAAGTTCAAGGACGTTTCTGTGCATTTACCGTTAACTAAGGGACTCATTCGCATAAAGGACTTCCACGACCAAAAATCATATCATCAATCGTTGACTTCCTAAAATCGTTGCAGCATCATTTTCTTTACAAAAATAGCGCGAACCCTAATGGCAAAAAAGTCCACGTCGACAGATTCGTCAACAAAGCTTACAAAACCCCAAAAATCTGTAATTCTTTGCATCAGGTCCCTCTCTCGACCTGAATCGACGTCCGAAACCCTAACCCTAATCGAAAACCGCAAACCTCTCCGATGAGAACTCCGGCGACCCCTCCTCCTCAGGCCGCCTCCTCTGGCGGTCGGCGGAAGGGGACAGCGATCAGAGCTCTCGAGGAGGTCGGAAAGCACTCGATCATGAGGCGGACGGGGCTCCCTGCTAGAGATCTTAGGGTTCTTGATCCGATGCTTTCTTATCCGTCGACGATCTTGGGTCGAGAGAGGGCGATCGTGATCAATTTGGAGCATATTAAGGCTGTGATTACTGCGACCGAGGTTTTGGTTCCGAATTCGACGAGTCCGCTGGTGGGGCCTTTTGTTCAGGAGCTTCAGGCTAGGGTTTCGGCCCCTCAACAGGTAATATTTAACATTGAATTTGTCATTTTGGTAGTGTTGTAGAGTTAGATGGAGAATTTGACGTAAACACTAAAATTTGAGGATTTGATCTTGACAATTTGGGTTTAATTAGGGTTAATTGATAAATTGTTGATTTATAGGACTTCTGGAAATCTGGAATTATAATTCAAATTGACTTAGAACCAACCCCAATGGGAATCAGAGAAATTGGAGTCGTATGACTAGAACAACCCATATCAGTAGATAGACTTTTCTTTAGGCTGCTGAGCAAAGCTCGGTTTTTCTAGTGACTTAGCTGTAGATGGCTAACACAAGTCTTTGGTTAATTTTGAATTTGATGTTACCCCTAAAATGTTTGAGTAAAGCCTTTTAGTTTGAGTGAAGTTCACCATGACATACATGTGATTTGAGAAACTGGATCCAATCACACCATTGAAGACACATCGCCTTGAACTCATGCGAAGATGAAATGCATCTTACTTCTTATTCCTCCTTCATCAACGTCTGCACTCTACCCTACTCGTGATATTTCTGTTCATGATCGCAGATATCATTTCTCCAAGGAGAAAATTAAAATGTTGTTTTTAGCATTAGAGCTGATAAGTGATAAGGTACTCAACATGAACATCTTTTTTTTTTTATGAATTTCACCATAACAGTTTTAGCATATCACGCCTTAAACAATGCTCATCTTCACTCGTATTGCTAAGAAACATGAGGCCTGTCCTGCATTTTCCGATCCAATTTCTAGACCAAACTTTTTCACCATCTAACTTAGGCAGTTTGAAGGCCTTGTAACCCACACATCTTTCAATTTCCGCCTTTTCACTTCAAATTTGTATAATTCTCGAGTGCCCTTTTACTTAGAAAAAAAGTTGACTTCACTCTTGACTCTTCACACTTGTCTAGTCAATCATTAATGGCTAAGAAAGCCAAAATCTGACTTGAAGTATTATTTGCATTGAAGACAACAGAGAATGGTGAAACAGGACGAGGAGCCATGGAGAAGGTGAACTTGAGTGGTAAGATGGCTGAAGGGAGCCTTGGACTACCGCACTCAGATGTAGGCAAAGATGGAGGAGCCAAGATGGTACCTTTCGAATTCAGAGCACTTGAAGTCTGCTTGGAATCTGCTTGTAAATGCCTCGAGTCTGAGGTCAGTGTTTCTTCATTAATCATGCCAACATCATTTCCTCTGTTAGCAGACTTTGTTGTATGCATGCTGAAATCCTTACCACATTGGTTACATTCGCATGGTTACTGTGTAAATTTTTTTGGGCAGCTTATGCTTATGGGAAGATTTTCAACTGTGCATGCTATGTTAGCTAGATCTCTTCATTTGGAAACTCTATCTGGCACTTGTTCCCACAAGTATCTTTAATCTCTCTTTTTTGCCTGCATTGATACTTCTAACTGTTGTAGGTAAAAGCTCCTTTGATCTATGGATATAAATAATGGACATTTAATTATTATGTCCAAGACTTCTTGAAAGTCTTTTTCAAATTTAGAAGTACCCTTCACTACTATAAAGAGAAAGGGTAGGTTTGTTGGGTGCCATTATGACCGAAGAGGAGAAAAGTAACTGACTCTGCAGCAACTCTAACTTCTGGTGGAGTGGGAAAGAGCATAAACAGTCCATCTATTTGTTTGGGAACATTATCTTTATGATGGCCCATCCAGCACAGGACTAACTGGTAAAACTGTAGTTAGTCTTACCCCACTTGTGAGATGCCACAAATATTATCACGAGCTATACCTGCATGACATTGCATAATCCAGAATAGTTAATACTTAATAGCACTGCTTATCACACCCTACAAGATAGAACAGCCTTCATATCAGCCCACACAGGCGACAGTAGAAAATCAATAACAAGTTGCACTCAGGTGAACATAATAATACCAAAATAACCCCTAAATAGGCTAAGTGCAATAAGAATGTCCATCTCAAGCCAAAAACTAGACATAAATTATTTTATGAATATACTACGTATAACCTTTGGACAAGCTTACTAGCTTCATCAACAGCAGACATTAACAATCTATCAAAATTTTCGTGGCCTCATTGATATACGCACAAATCTGTTGGATTCTCCGTGAAGTGCTGATTACACGACTACAAAACAATCAGATAGTCATATATAAACATGTTACCATACACTCTAAAGTACCACAGGCAGTAGACCATAAATTCAGTGGGCTTTTAACAACGGGGGCATCCTAGAATATAAAGTATTTATGGACTTTTACACTCTAAAAGTATTTGTGGGCTTTTAACTATGGGGGCATCCTAGAATATAAAATTATAACCCTCAAACATTGCTTGTCATAACTTTGAAGTTTTGGTGTAGTGGAAGGAACCTTTGACTACTACAAGTTCAGGTCAGAGAGAGCACGTAGACAAAGAGTACAAGCTAGGAGGGAATCCAGTTAGCAAGGTTACAGAAAGCATTAGGGGCCTAGGCGTTTGGCCCGACGCCTAGAGCCTAGATGCCGCCTAGGCATTGGGCCCGACGCATAGAGCCTAAGCATCTAGGCGAGAGTCTAGACGGGGTCTAGGCATTTTTTATTTTTTATAATTATAATTACTGATAGTAAATGCTAATATTATAGAAAGCTTCGGCGCTGGACTAACACCTAGGCAGATTTCTTAAGTGGTGATGGATGATGTTTTGTTCAAGGTTGGAAGAGGTATAGGAGGTGGTCATAGTTAGAGTTTGAAGGAGATTAGAGGATCTTGATACTGCAATGGAGGAAAGCATGATCAATGCGTACAGAGTGCAGTCCGTAGGCAGACCACACTCCCCTAGGCACTCCCAATATATGGGTGGACAACTTAGGTACCGCCTAGGCGTTAGGTGCTAGGTAGGCGGCCAAGGTACCATATAGGCCTAGGCTTACGCCTAGGCGGGCTAGGCGGAGGTTTTTTAAAACGCTGCCAGTTAGCATCACCAACAGAACACACTAGATCAATTATCTCTTGATGATGTCTAACATCTTATAACTTTGAAAAATGTTCATGGCATTTCATGAGTTGCTAGCTGATGAGTGCAGAACCTCTAAGTTTAAGGAAAGCATGAATATTGTGTATTACGCTTCTTCTTTGGTAATACTTTTGCAAATAAAGGTATCATACACATGCAACAAAATCATTCTGCTAGTGATACTAGGTGAAAAATTTCTGTGACTTTTTCTTAGATGCTAAAATCAGTTGGTTTCATTCTCGTTAGTATTCTTTCTCAATTTGTTTCTTATTGATTATAAACTGCATGCAAAGCTTTTCAATCTTTGAATTACCAATGTAAATTCTGTTTATAATTCTTTTATATTTCTAGTTTGTTTAGCTATTTCATCACTAGTTCTGTTATACCAGACACTGACTTTGGAGAAAGAAGCATATCCAGCATTGGACGAGTTGACATCTAAAATCAGCACCCTTAACCTTGAACGTGTTCGACAGATAAAGAGTCGATTAGTTGCATTATCTGGTCGTGTACAGAAGGTAAGATTTTTATGCATATATTGCTTTTAGCTTGTATTTGCTCAGAAAAGGGTGGAAATAATTAAGAAAGTAAGAGATCACTTTCAGAATTTTTGAATGAGCCTCCTAAAATTCCAAATGATCCTCTGAATATTGCTTGGTGCCTCATTATGTGTTCCAGAGATAAGTGAGTTGGAATTGAGAAAGATGTCAATGGTCAAGGCTGTAGTGCCAAATGAAATGTTGATCACATATAAAAGTCATGCTAGAATTGCAATTAATTATTTTTTGTCCAAGAAATGACAAATAATCAGAGGAAAGACGTGTGTGCCAAAGCAGCCAAATTTTCATAAATGACTTTAAGACAGATTTCTTTATAATTTGGGAAATGTGGTTCAAAAAACATCTTATATAAAATAAATATACTAATTTCGTATCAGTGAACCAATTATTAGGTTAATTGTGAGGAAGCTGAGAGAAAAGAGAGCAGATCTTGCATATGATGGTAGGCTCTAAAATAGAGAAAGAAAAGTGTATGTAAAATAAGGTCATCTGTTAGATACTGAGGAAAAGATAGATGAGGAAATTTAACCTAATGCTTGGTTCTATCATTAATGTTTACTTGACAAAAATAGCCAACAGTAAAGGATATGGTCAAGGAAGTGGAGACTAGAGTGTAAACTGTAGAAAGGTTACCTAAGGTGCACTTATTCTAAAGGAAGAGCAACTACAATCACAATACCATCATAATCCTGTTTCTCTGTCCTCTACTTCTACTCACTTTCTTCTCATTTTTTGGGTGCTATTTTGTACTTTCAGGTGAGGGATGAACTTGAACACCTACTGGATGATGACATGGATATGGCGGAGATGTACCTTACGGAGAAGCTTATGTCTAATCGAGTTGGCGAGATGTCTTCGAGAGGGGATCTTGACAATGATGGTTCTGAAATGGATGAAGAGAGGTAAGCTACCTAGACTTTTGGAGAGATTTAATTCTCTATGTGGCAATGAAGATGTTTCAGGCAAATTGTGATATCGCAGGGCTTCATTTGGAACTTTTTCTTGAATTTCTGCTCACTAATCGTGTCACTGAAATATTAGGCAAAAAGAGCTGTTTCTTTGTGGACCTAAGATCTAAATTAAATAAACCATAGGACCTGTTAGACCTGGACTATGCATGCAATTAGCGTTCATTACCTTTAGAAAAATGAATTGTCATTTAATTGATATAATTTTCTGTATGAACCTAAGGGGAAGCGTTGACAATAAAATGCCTTCTCTAGAGAGTAGAAATTATGATGATTCACACCATGCACATTTCAGCTTAATTAGAGACAAAATTTTACAAAGAAACGGACACACCAAGAACAAAGTCTTCATACCAAACTTTTTGGGTTGACCGCAGGAATTTATTATTCCATTCAGTAATGAAAGGGTCAGCTCCTATGTTAGTTGAACTGTATATGCATATGGAACTTTTATTACCAGGACAGGTATTTCCATACATAAAGAGTATCCTTATGGAAATATGAACATAATAATAAACTTTTATTACCAGGACAGGTATTTCCATACATAAAGAGTATCCTTATGGAAATATGAACATAATAATAGTTTCTTATGTTCACTAAATCCATACATAAAGAGTATCCTTATGGAAATATGAACATAATAATAGTTTCTTATGTTCACTAAACATCCACTATGCACCTATTTTACCTTGATTCCCTACTTTATCAACCTAACCACGTCAGCAATACGGTTCAATACTTCGACAAATTTGGTAAAAATAGAAAATTGAAATTTAAAAAAAAATCTTTGATTAGGTTATTCTGCATGAATACTAATCAGGATAGAGAATATATTTGTGCTTATATGAAGGGAAGTGAACACGTAAAATTCCGGGAGAACAACTTGAGCATAATTTAGTTGTGGATTCACATATAGTTTCCTATGAACATTATCAGAAGATGACTAAGTAGCATGCATTTTATGTGATGATGAACATTCAGTATTGGAAAGCTTGATCCTACGGCAATCATTGTAGAAACATAACTAGCATGGTTAAAAATAACATCCAACCCAAGAAAAGGGAAAAGCACACTGCTAGGCCCTTGCATTTGTTATTGAATTATTGGCAATGGATAAAGGTCAATCTTCGTTCTCACATGATGCATTACTTTCATTCAAATCTGTAAGTTCAAAGCGCAAGGCACAGTGCTGAGAACTTGTGAGATGAATTTTTTGGGTACAGCTTTACTTATGTTTTTAGTAATTATTTAATTCTTGATTGTGTTTGATTTTCTAATGTGTAATATGTCATATATCTTCAGAGATGAAGATTTTAAAAATGAGACAGAGAGCAGCCATGGAAGTTATATTGGTTTCAAGCCTAGCATTGAAGAACTGGAGATGCTCTTGGAGGCCTACTTTGTGCAGATAGATGGTACCTTAAACAAACTCTCCACTGTAAGTTACTCTTCTTTTTATACAAGCATCTTCATCAATGTTAAATTTGTCAGCATTTTACGTGAGCGGAGTCAATGATAAATGGTGCAAGGTTTATCGGTCATAGTAACTTTTAACATTGACAGATGAAGCTCTCTAATAGCCTCTAATATGTTTTTCTCTTACTAGTAGTCAGTATTTGAATTCAATACTATATTCACTGTTCTCCCATGTCTATTTCCCATGTATACAGCTAAGGGAATATGTTGATGACACGGAGGACTACATCAACATAATGCTTGACGAGAAGCAGAATCAACTGCTGCAGATGGGAGTAATGTTGAGCACTCTAACCCTAGTATTAACTGCAGGCGTCGTGGTCGTTGGTATATTTGGCATGAACATTGGCATTGATCTTTACAATGCTCCTAACGGACCTTACCATAAGTTTTGGGAGACCACATTCAGTACTTTTGGGGGCTGTGTAGTTCTGTATATACTAGCCATTGGGTGGGGTAAGAAAAGTGGGCTGCTGCAATGATCGCTCTCAGTATGGCATAGATCGAGCTAGAACGGCACATATGGTATCTTTGTGCCTCTTACCCTGGAGATTCTGGCATTTTGCTCTCGTGTTTTTTTTTTATTATTTGAATTTTCCTGCAAGAAAATGATGAATATGTAACATATATGAGGATGAGCATGTAACATAAATGACGCAATTCCTTAGAGATAAAACAGGAACGATAAAGCTTTTTTTTTTTAATGTTAAAAATTGTAAAATATCATGCTGTTTTTTGTGAGATCAGCAGTGACAATGACTTCGTGAGAGTAACAGAAAAGGTGAAGTTGGTCTTTGACGTTAAAATTTGCACTAAAAACCGTCTATAAGAGCTGGATGCGTGTACTTTTGGTTTCCCATCCCTTTTTATTACTCTTTTCTCACAGATTCTAAGCTTATAAGAGTCAAGGTGGCCTGAGGAAAAGAGGTGACAAGTTTCAGCTGTTACTGTAGAGATTTTTGTTCCGATGAATGGCGATAGGGTTCGGGTGGTAAAGCTCTGGGTGAGGGAGGGGTGTTTAGGCAACCGGTTGGCACTGCAAGAGTTCGATGCCCCCATGTGGATATTTTTTATTTCTCACTTTTTTAAACGAAGAGCTTGTTCCAATTTTCTCAAGATTAGACTTTAATATTTCAGGATTAGAATGTATATGGTAAGGAAAACACGTAAAAAGTGTTTATGCATGTCAATAACAGTTTATTTTTGGGTTTCCTGTTGATATTTTGTGCTTATATAAATCAACTTGACATCATATACCAATTAATTAAGATCTTAACTAAACTTTTGGCATGGTTGTTCAAATTATAGCCCCTTAAAATTCTGTAATTCTAAATAGCATTTGTTCCTAATTAAAGACATTAGAATTCCTAATTGAAACCTTGGTACAAAAACTACAGGTATGGAACCTTTGGTTTTCTCTTATTATTATTATCTATTTATTTATTTTTTAACTACTGCATAACGTGCAGGGCACTTCTTGCTTACCGAAAGATTTCAACCGATATTAATCATATGCTATATTAGCTAGAATCACATGTTTGCACCAGTATTTTTAATCTTCTTTTTTGACAGATTCTTCTAACTGTTGTAGGCAGAAGGTCTTTTGATATATGCAATATAAACAACTGGCATTAGTTAGTAGGTTCTTTCCCCCATGGAGGTAAACTTTAAACCTGTAAAATAGAGTCATTATGTAGAAATCACATTTGATTTTCAATTTATATTTAAATCACCTTTAAACCGTTTTTGTTGCAATCAATCACATGGACTCACTTTTAAAATTTTGATTAAATTTATAAAAAAGTATATTATTTATTTTTTTAAAAAAAATTTACTAAATAGAGTTATTATTATTCATATTTAGATTAAAATTCCAAACCTGATTAATATAACATCAGATTAAAAGATATTTCTGAATCTGTTAATTTTTTCTTAGAATATTTGAAATTGTAATGTTTTTAAATTTTGTAAATTTAATCAAAATTGTAAATTATGATACTGTTCCTAATTTTGAAAATTATTAATTCATATTTTTCTGAAATAACAAATTTATATTAAGTTTTCTTGAAATATCTAAAATTAGGGAAAATTGCTTCTAGGTCCCAAATTTGAACTTTCAATATGCCACAACCCCTCCTATTTTTTTTAATGTGCTTTAGCTTATTTTTTAAAAAAAAATGTGCCCAAGGCCCATCCATCATGATTCCAACTCATGCTAGCAGTTGATTAGACATGTCAGCTCATGATTAGACATGTTAGCTGGTTTAAATCCTAAATTTACCCTCCTCTTTCTCATGCCAGGGGATGTTAACTCTTACAGTTAACATGTTAACTCTTACACCTAACATGTTAACTCTTACAGATAACATGTTAACTCTTACATCTAACATGTTAACTCTTACAGGTAACATGTTAACTCTAATAGTTAACATGTTAACTCTTACTAATGTGCCACGCGAAGTTCCTCTAGACGGCGCAGGCGGCGGAACAGAGGAGGGGGTAGAAGGAGACCGGAGGAGGGGAGGGAGGCGCGGGGGAGAGGGTAACTCTTACATCTAACATGTTAACTCTTACAGGTAACATGTTAACTCTAATAGTTAACATGTTAACTCTTACTAATGTGCCACGCGAAGTTCCTCTAGACGGCGCAGGCGGCGGAACAGAGGAGGGGGTAGAAGGAGACCGGAGGGGGGGAGGGAGGCGGCGTGGGGGAAGGGGCAAAGGGGGACCGACAAAGGAGGAGGAGGGAGGGAGGGAGGGAGGGAGGTGAAGGGAGGGCAAAATCGGGATTTAGACTGGAGGGGCCTGGACGTAATTTTTTAAAAAATATGGGGCTGCAGCACATTAGGGAAAGTAAGGAGGGCTGTAACACAATAGAAATTGAGTTTTAGAGCCTTGAAGCAATTTTCCCCTAAAATTATGATATTTATAAAATTCTAATTTATATATTTTGCAATCCTCTTCTAAGTCAATTATGTTAATCCTCTTCTATGTTTTCTCTTGGGTAATCTGAAAAACACTTCCATTTTGTTCTCGATATCACATAGGTGAAATTGACATTTTATTTTATTTTTTTATTTTTCACGTATAGTTATTTATGTGATTTGATATTATACTCTTTTGCGATTGTGAGATGCCATGTTAAAACTATTAGACTTTGTCTATATTCATCTAGAAGCTCAAAAATGTTTATTTTTTATTTTATTTCTTTACTCATTCAGTGCATATTTAGTTACACATGAATATTTTTTGTTGATATGATCAATATATTGTAATACAAAACTTATTTGTTTAGTTTTTACATTACTGATCCATGTTTCATTTTTTACTCTAATTTATTCTTTTTATCAATTAAATTTCATCCTCCAAATAAAATAATATTCAACATTTGCTATTAATCGAAATATACTTCTAATATATTACCTAATTAAAAATATATTTATTTTCAGCTATTCAAAATATTTCTATATATTGCCTGATATTTGAGATCTATCTATATTTATAATATCTGTCATATTAGAAATAATAAATTTAAATATATTTCATAAAAGTTTAAAATAAATTGATAAAATTATTTATTTTATTTATTTACATTCTTAAAAATTTACTAAATAATAATAATATCTTACTAATTTTCTAATATATATGAAACAAATATCTTAATTATTAAAATATTAAAAAGTAATACCTTACAAAATCTTAATATTTTGGCACGTGGACTTCTTAATTAGCTGTTTAGTTTTAAAGTGTAAATCCAAACCATTTGTTTTTAATCAGTACTTAAAATCACATAGATTTTTATTACGGTGTAACATTTGAATGAATTTATATTTTATAGTATTGGATGCGATTCGAAAAATCACACAGATTATACTCTTTAATGTAGCTTCATTAATTTACGAGATTTGATATTATACTCTTTAATCTTACGATTCTCTGACAATAGATTTGTGATTTTTTCCAAAGCTCATTTATCTTTTAATTTTCTACCATTTTTTATTTTTTGATGCACTATTTGTTTTCATTTTACAAGATGATGCAAGCATGAGTTAAATTTCTAGGTTTAATTCTCAAGGGCCACAGAACACTTAAAATCGCAAGTATGTGTTGAAATTTCTAGGATCTTCTTGATTTAACTTAATTAGGGTTTCATTCTTGATTTTGTTTGATATTATACTTTTTTGTTTTTATGATATTTGTGAATTGTGGCAATTTAGTTGTTTCTTTAGTTGAGCATAATCGAAGTATTACATGTTTGATTTCTAATCGAAAGTAGAACTTGATTCTAATTTTACTTCCTTTGTTAGGCCTATCTTTTTTTCTTCCATTATTCTATTTTTTTCTATAAACATCTCATTGTGCTCTAATTTTTTTTAGTTTGTCTTTTTAGGATTGAGCAAAGGTGTTTTAGAAAAGCAGATTGAGTGCTCTTCACTTTATTTCACCTATAGGTAGGAATTTTTATTTATTTATTTTTTATTATTTTTTGTTTTGACGCTTAATTTTATGCTAAAATAAAAAAATCTTGGATTTTAATTAAGTAAACTTGTAGCAAGTTCTAATGGGAAAGTGATATGGGCATACTAAAGCAAAAAAAATATTAGAGATTTAAATTGTTCCTCAATTTAATAACTATTTAGATATGATTTCTTTATTTATTTTATTTCAAAATTTTAAATTTTTTAAGTTTATTGAGATTAATTAATATTCAATTTTATTGTGCCGTTAAAAAAGAAGATTCCGAGAAAGGAGCTTTCTCATCAATTTTACTTAATTAGCTTCCTCGCTATTATTTTTTCCCTAAATTTTATTTATAATTATCAATGAATATCTACCTAATGAGAATCTTTATTTATCCCATTTTAATTATTATTTTTCTATTTTTAGAAATAAGAATATATTTTGTAATTACAGACTAAGAGCTCTTCTCTTGATATGAATGCTCAATTGCGGGTGTGTTTGGTAATCAATGTGTTTCTTTTTCTTTTGTTTTTTTTTAAAAAACACCATGTCATGGTGTTTCTTTTTCAAATGTGTTTTAAAAACACCATTTTGATCAAACTAGTTTGACCATTTATATAGCGGCAGTGCCTTGCGAGCGGCACGGATGGTGGCAGGCGGTGCCGGCGGTCGGCTAACAGCGCGTGCAGCGAAAACGGACGACGTCTGGCTTACCAGCGTGAGGTAGCGGCGAAGTGGCGCGGCGCCGGCGAGCGACGGGGTAGTCGGGCTGGGTGTCGGCGGTGGCTAGGCGACGCTGGCAGGAGGCGACTGACGGTGGGTGCGTCGGCCGAACGGGTGGCCGGCGGGAGGGCGTGTCGACGCGGCAGCGAAGTGGCGTGTGGTGGCGGGCGACGAGTGTCCGGAGCGGTGGCGGGGCGCGCCGACGTGCGGTCGGACCGCGTGATCGAGCTGGTGGCGGCAGGCGACGGCGGTTTGGGCCAGCGGGCTTGGCGGGACAGGCGGCCGTGTGACGGTCCAACGGGCAGGGCGACTGATGGTGCTGATGGTGGGCGGGAGCGACGACCCAGTGATGGCCTGGGTGGCGAGTGCGGGGCGACAGGTAGCCGGCGGTCGTGCTGCACGCGGCTCGCGTGGCGCTGCCGGCGTGCGGCTCCGACGACGTGGCAGGCGGGTGGCCGCGGGTAGCTGCGGCCAGCGCGGCGGTGGTCGGCCAAAGCGCGGTGGCAGGTGGCGCGGGTCG